AGGTGTACAGTATTCTGACCCACCCTGGGTGAAATGGTGTACAGAAATCTGTACAGTAATCTGACCTACACTGAGTGAAAGTGTACAGAAAGGTGTACAGTAATCTGACCCACTCTGGGTGAAATGGTGTACAGAAAGGTGTACAGTGTTCTGACCAAAATTGGGTGAAAACGTGTACAGAAAAATGTACACTGGGTGAAATGGTGTAATTAGAAATTGACCTCTCTTTATCTGCATAAAACAAGGAATTTTTTGTTCACAGAACAGGGAGGTTATGCTAGAACTGTATGAAATAGTAGGTAGACCGCTGCTAGAGTATTGCTAACAGTAATGATTCACACATTACAGAAAGGATTTGATCACACTAGAGACAGTACAGAGGAGATTTACAAGGATGATTGCAATGAGGAAAGCCTTGGATAATCTAGCTTTGTATACTTTGGTACAAAGGCAAGAGTTTTAATTGATGTATCTGAAATTATGAGGTGCCTAAATAGAGTGAATAGAAAGGACTTATTTTTGTTTGCAGAGAAAACTAGGAGCCATAGATTTAAAGTAATTCCTAGAAGGAATAAGAGAATTGTGGAGTAATTTTTCCACACCAAGGATGGTGCGATCTTTAGCTCATAGCCTAGAAAGCGGTAAAGTCAAAATACTCATAGAACTTAAAAGAACACTTGGCTGTGCATTTGAGGGCCATAACCTAGAGGACTGCAGGCCAAGAGTTGAAAGGTAGGATTAGACTAGATTTCCCTTTCTTTTAGCTAGCATGGACTTGATTGACTGAATGACCTCATTCCGTACCACGAAAATTGTTCATATTTCTCAAAGTTTAACTGTGTAGAGTTTGTGATTCTAAAAAAGTTCATTGTATGATATACTGTATGTTCATGGTCATAGATTCCTCACTAATCTTTGTGACTGTGTTGTTTTTAAATGATTTCACCACTTTTTAACAAATGCAGCATCAATCATCTTATAGGGAAGCAAGGCTTTAACAATGCTATAAATCAAAGAGATAGGGAGAGGCAAATCAAGCTCATAACTACCTAACACTGAGGAAAGCAAATACTGCCAAGTGAGCTCAAAAGTTGAACCTGGGATTTTCCAATTAAAAACAAACCTTTCATTTTGACCCAGAAAGCATCTATTTCTCTCACCTGACTGTTCTTTTTTTAAGGCTCTGACACTTGTTGCGTCTGACCTTGTGTTCGCTTTGCAGGTGGTTGATTTCTGCGACAATAAGACCCACAATCGCGAAGCCCCGAATATGCAAAACAAAATGTGCAATGGGAGGAGCACGTGGGATGTGATCAGCAAGTCAGAAGATTTCAAGAACAACCCTCCAGCTCATATTCCTTCTCTTGAGCCAACGTTTACTTTCCTGCATGCCAAAGACCGAGTGCTGTGTTTAGTTCTTGACACGTCTGGAAGCATGGGTGGGGTATGACAATGTGATGTTGGCTCAAGCTGATGTTATTTAAAGGACCATCACTTAGAGTCCTTTGCTGACCATTGTTCATCATGGAGGAGACAAGAAGTCTTTACTTTCATGCAAGACCTGCTTTTTGTAGGGCTATTTCAGTGTAGTGACAGCATCCTCTAGGATAGGAGACCTGGGCTCAAGTCCCACTTGTTCCAGAGGTCTCTAACAGGTTTCAGAAAGCCAACACAGGCTTCATTATTTCTTGTGCCAAACTATAACAAACTACAATTCTGAAATTTAAAAAAAATCAAAAAGTGCTGAAGTACTCAGCAGGTTTGGCAGAATCTGTGCAGAGAACTGAGCTAACCTTTCAGGTCAAGATGACCTCTAAACAGAGCATTTCTGAAACCCTGCCCCATACTCTCAAGCCATTATTTCAATGTGTGTATGATCCTGTTTGTATGCAATGTGGGAATGACAAATGGTGAAAGTGGTGTTTCACCAGGATTAGTGCTGGGACCATGATATCTCATCACTTAAAATATACCAATGACCCAACCTCAGGAATCAAAAACACAATTTCAAAATGTACAGATGACATCTTACTTGAAGTATGTGGCTAATACAGAGGAGGACTGAGACGAAATACAGGGATGACGTTAATTAACTTACATAACTGAACGTACAATTGGCAAATGGAATATGTCTTCTTGATCAAAAACAGAAATTGCGGGAAAAACTCAGCATCTCTGGCAGCATCTGTGAAGAGGAATCAGAGTTAACGTTTCTAGAATTGAACCTGAAACTTTAATTCTGATTTGTTCCCACAGATGCTGCCAGACCTGCTGCCTTTCTCTAGGATTTTCTGGTTCCATTTTATATCCCTAGCATCCTCCGTACTTTAGTTTTATTTGTTTTTACAAAATATGAAGATGGCAAATGGGCTCAGGAGGTTGAGTTTGGACTTGACTTGAGTTCTTTTTGTTTATAGGAAAATCGAATTCAAAGGCTCCAACAAGCAGCTGGGATATTTTTGCTCCAGATCATTGAAGACCAATCATACGTTGGCATTGTTACTTTTAGCCATCGTGCATCTCAGATTCAAGCATTGACAGTAATTGAGAATGAGGATACAAGGAAACGGCTTAAAAATCTTTTACCTAAAATAGCTAGTGGTGGAACAGATATTTGTGCAGGGGTTCGCGCTGGTTTCCAGGTAAGTCCTGTGAGACATTTCATAATTCATTATTGTCCACATCACTTTTACAATTTTCCCACATTGACAATAACTTTGTGGCTTTGCAGGTACTTCGTGGTGATGATGGTGCTACCAATGGTGATGAAGTTGTTTTGCTGACTGATGGGGAGGACAGTGCAATAAGCAATTGCTTCTCAGATGTGAAACAAAGTGGTGCAATTATCCACACAATAGCATTAGGACGAAGTGCAGCCAAAGAGCTGGAACAGTTGTCAATAATGACAGGTAAGTGACATTTAAATTGTTCCACTGATCAAGAATTAAACTTCAGTAGCAAATGAAATACAGGGATGAGGTTAACAGGCAATATTAAGTATTTTTGGGTGCTCGGTTACAATGATAAATGTTCATTTCTACAAACTTCTTTGGAGATTCAGGGAACACCTGAGCCTTACAAACCAGCAATGTCCCTGAAACTTATGAATTTCCTCTGTGCGACCTTATCAAAAACCTTCTGAGCATCCAAATATACCACTTCCACTGGAAGGCTGGAGAAACTCAGCAGGTCTGCAAATATCCGTGGAGAGAGAAAAATAGTTAATGTTTCAAGTCCAGTATGAATCTTGTCTAGAATGTTCAAGGCCTGGCCACAATAGGAAGATAATAAGAAACCCCATTTATGCAGAGCTTTTTGTAAATTCAGGGTGTGCCAAGGTGAGTTGCAGACAAATAGATATTTTTCTTTCTTGAAGTATAATCGTTGTTGCAATGTAGAAAATTGGATAATGCTAAGACATCATCAATCTTGGGAAGTATTACCTCCTCTAAACGAGAGGTTAAGACTGTGGAGAAAAGTAAACCAGAAGTTTCACTATCAGTCTCTCTGCTTGTCACTTCTGTTTGTGACATCAGTAATAAAGGATTCTAGATTGAAGGGTCGACATGTGAAATCAGTTTGGTTGATGCTGAAAAACAGTAATTTGCAGCAAACATTGGTAGAATTTATTTCCATGCACCAAACTGGAGTGGTAAAATTGGGCATAATATATTGATGGATTGATTGATTGATTTGATTTATTCTCACGTGTACCTAAGTACAATGAAAAGGTTTGTTTGCGAGCATTGCAGGCAGGAACTTAGAAATGCCTGCAAAGTGAGAAATATAATTATAATGGGCTATTTCAGGTTACACACAGATTGGGTTAACTAAATTAATACTAACACTGTAGAGGTTAAGAGAGGAGTGTGTTTCCAAGATAGGTTTCCAAAGCAGCACGTTGAGGACTTAATAAGGAATCTGGCTTCTTGGATTTGGTATTGTGTAATCAGTAAGGCCTAATTAATAAACTAGCTGTAAAGACGTCTTTGAGAAATAGTGGTCATACTAATATATAATTTTGCACTAATTTGAATGTGATATGGTCCATTCTTAAACTCAGGTCTTAAATCTGAAAAAAGGAAATTATGAAGATGTGAAGAACAAGTTGACCGTGGTGGATTGGGAAAATACAGTAAATAAATAAATTAAATACTACATGATTTACAACAGACATACATTTGTCTTAGCCACAACACCCACAATAAAGAGTAAATTGACCGTGGTAATTGAAAGAAGTTAATAATGTCATTAGTGCAAAGGAAATGACTCATTTTTGTGCCAGAAAATGTGGTAGGATTGAGGACTGGAAGTAATATACAGCAAAAGAGGGCAAAGAATGTGATTCACAAGGGGAAATTAAACTGTTACTTTGCTTTTGTCTTCATGGGGAGGCGATGGCCTAGTGGTATTTTCGCTGGACTGTTAATCCAGAGACCCAGATAACACTGTGGGGATCTGGGTTTGAATCCCGCCATGGCAGATGGTGGAATTTGAATTCAATAAAAATCTGGAATTAAGAGTCCAACGATGACCGTGAATCTATTGTCAATTGTTGAAAAAACCCATCTGGTTCACTAATGTTCTTTAGGGAAGGAAACTACCATCCTTACCTGGTCTGGCCTACATGTGACTCTAGACCAACAGCAATGTAGTTGACTCACAACTGCCCTCTGGGCAATTAGGGATGGGCAATAAATGCTGCTTAGCAGTGAGGAAAAAAAATATAGAAAATCTCCAAGAGTTGTGAAACTGAAGAAATAAAACAAATTAGTATTATTAAGGGGGTAGTGCTTGAACAGTTAACTGGATTAAAGACTGATGAATCCCCTGGATGGGTGAGCTATCGTTCAGTGTGTCAAAGCAAGTAGCAGCAGAGATAACAGATGCATTGGTGGTTAGCTTTCAAAATTTTTGATTTTAGAAGGGATATTGAGGACTGGAATGTAGCAAATGTAACTATTTAAGAAGTGAGGTACAGGGAGGATGAGTAACTACAGGGATCTTAGCTTGTCATCAATGTTAGGAAAAATGTGAGAATCTATTCTTATGATTTTTATCGACTGACATTTAAAAGAATGGTAAAATTGGCAAGAATCAGCTTGGATTTATGAAAGGGAAATTATGTTTGACAAACTTGTTTTTTGTGGATGTTATGTGTAACATTGATAAAGCAGAACCAGTGGAAGTGGTATATGGTTTGTAGATAAAATTAGAATGCTTGAATTGGGAGGAAAATACAAGCATGGGTTGTGAATTGATTAACAGACAGAGTGCAGAGAGTAAGAGTAAATGGATCATTCTCAAGATAGTAGGCTGTTATGAGCTGGGGTACAGCTAGGAGCTGTTTATTCATAATCTATATAACTGATTTAGATATGAAAACCAATTGTAATAATTTGAAATTTATGGTGACACCAAACAAGGTGGGAATGTAAATTGTGAAGAGAATGCAAGGAGGCTTCAAGAGGATTTGTACAGGCTATTATGCAGAACAGTTGGAATGCCATATCAATAAATGTGTAGTTATTCACCTCAGTAGGAAAAGCAGAAAGACAGAATATTTCTTAAACAGTGATAAGTTGGGAAGTTTGGGTGATCAAAGGGACATGTGTATCATTTTTAAAATCACCACACACAGAAGCAGCAAGTAATTAGGAAGGCAATGTTATGTTGGCCTTCATAACAAAGGGATTTGAATACAGAAGCTGTATAGAGTCTTGGTGTAGTGTACAGTTTCGGTCCCTTTCTCCAAGGAGGGATATATTTGCTATTATGACAGTATAATTAATAGAAGTTTACTGGATTAATCCTTGGGATGGCAGGGTTGTCTTATGAGGAGAAATTGAGGACAGTGGGTCTGTGTTCCCTTGAATTTTGAAAAATAAGAGGCCAGGTCATTGCAACTTACAAAGTTCTTGCAATGGCAATATTTTTAAATAGAATGTTTCGCTGGCTAGTGAGTTTAAAGTCAGGTAACATAATTATATGATAAGGGTTGACCACTTAAGACTGAGATGAGGAGTAATTTCTTCACTCAAACATTAATGATACATGAAAACTCCCTACTCTAGAGGGCTATGTAAGCTCCATCATTGAGCATGTTCAAGATAAAAATCAATAGATCCCTGGAGACTATCACTGAAGAAGGTGGGGGGCAATGTTTCATTCAGGTAGATGATTAGCTATGATCTCATGAATGATCAACTGAATACATATCCCCTGAGTTATAAGTATTAGAGCTGTAAGCATGGAATCAGACCCTTCAGTCCAACTTGTCCATGCTGACCAGATATCCTGAACTGATCCAGTCCCATTTGCCAGCATTTGGCCCAAGTCCCTCTCAACCTTTCCTATTTATGTACCTGTCCAGATGCCTTTTAAGTGTTATAATTGTACCAACCTCCACCACTTCCTCTTGCAGCTCATCCCATACATGCACCATCCTCTGAATGAAAATGTTGTCCTTTAGATCCCATTTAAGTCTTTCCCCTCTCACTATACCCTCTAGTTTTGGATTTCCCTATCCTGGGGAAAAGATGTTGGTTATTTCACCCTATCCATGCCCCTCATGATTCTATAAACTTCTATAAGGTCACCCCTCAGCCTCCGACACTCCAAGGAAAATAGCCCCAGCCTATTCAGCCTCTCCCTATAGCTCAAACCCTCCAACCCTGGCAACATCCTTGTAAATCTTTTCTGAACCCTTTTAAGTTTCACAACATCCTTGCTATAGCAGGAAGCCCAGGATTGAAAGCAGTATTCCAAAAGTGGTCTAACCAATGTCCTGTGCAGCCACAACATGAACTCCCAACTCCTTTACTCAATACACTGACCAATAAAGGCAAGTGTACCATACAGTTTCTTTACTATCCTGCCTGTTTGCAACTCCACTTTCAAGGAACTATGAGCCTGCACTCCAAGGCCTCCTTCGTTCAGCAACACTCCCCAGCACCTTACCATTAAGTGTATAAGTCCTGCCCTGATTTACCTTTGCAAAATGCAGCACCTCACAATTATCTAGATTAAACTCCACCTGTCACTCCTTGGCCCAGCAGCCCATCTGATCTTGAGTTTTCTTTGTTCTTGTTTTAAATTTCCAATATCCACGGTAATATTCTTTCAAGTGAAGTTTTCCAACTTTGACCTCAGCTAATCACCAGGATCTAATTCCAAAGCTACCTTATCCATCACCTTGTAATCTGTGACTTAATATCACCCAAATAACTTAATCAGTCAACACTTTTACTTTCAATTCTGCTTATCATCAGTTTCATGGTTAGGTTTTGTGATTTGAATTTGTGCAAAGCCTTTTTCCCTGATCAGTTGTGAGCTCTACATTGATCTTATTATTTTTCACATTCAATCTTTAGGAGGTTTACAGTTTGCAGCTACTGATAAATTGGATGAAAATGGATTAGTTGATGCTTTCACTGGATTAGTATCGGGAAATGGTAACATGAGTCAACAGTCAATCCAGGTTTGACTATCCTTCAGAGAACGACTTTGAATTCTTGCTGCGTTCTGCTAACAGGCATTTCGGTGTTTTAAGATCACTGTTTTGATTTCTTGCAGCTTGAAAGTGCTGGAAAGAGCATTAAAAGTAATGATTGGTTCAATGGTACGGTTTTCGTCGATAACACAGTTGGGAAGAACACATCCTTTGTGATTACGTGGCAGACTGTCAAACCACAAATGTTTATCCGTGATCCCAAGGGAAATCTTTACGGAGATGGAAGCTTTGACTTGGACACAGTCTTAGTTACAGCTCGCCTTCAAATTCCTGGCCTGGCACAAGTATGGTTCTGATTGGACTGTGTGTTTAAATTTTCTCTTTGCTTTATCTTTGACTTCCTTCTTTTCAATTAAAATGGCGTGTTTTCCTATCAGTCAGGAGCCTGGACATACAGCATCAAAAATGCAGCTAGAATGCCTGAGGTTGTAACCATCACAGTAACATCACGGGCAGCAGATGAGAATATTCCGCCTGTGACAGTCAACGCGCACCTCAATCAGGACGCAGCACATTTTCCAAGCCCACTGGTCATTTTTGCAGAGGTCAGCCAAGGCTTCTTGCCTGTTGTTGGTGCCAAAGTGACAGCCACAGTGGAGAGGGCTGATGGTCACATTGTTAATCTTGAGCTATTGGACAATGGGGGAGGTAAATACATCCATTGTCGTGGAAACCAATTGGCAATTGGTTACGTTTCATTGTGACCAAAGTAAAACATTATCATTAGTTAACATTCTATACATGCAATCCTGCACTTCACAACTGATTTGTCTTTTTATCTTTAGGTGCTGATATTGTTAAAAATGATGGAGTTTATTCTCGGTATTTTACTAAATATGGTGGTAATGGGAGATACACCATTAAAGTATCTGTACAAGGAAAAGATGGAATAGTAAGGTTAACAACCAGGAAACAAAGCCATGCCATGTACATCCCAGGATATGTACAAAATGGTAATGTATTAATAGACAAATGTACGTACGTGTTATTGAATTATAATATTGCCTGAGTCAAGCCATTTAATATTGTAAATTTCATCAATCTCCAACCCAATGACAATTCCAATGCTACCTTGGACGACTTCCTATATACCCTATAACTCTAGAGGGTGGTGGGCGTGTGGAATGCGCTGCCTGGGAGGGTAGTTGAGGCAGGCAACCTCACAACCTTTAACAAAGTTCTCAAATGAGCACCTGAAAATGTCATAACATTCAAGGTTGTGGGTCAAGTGCCGGAAAGTGGACTAGTATAGATTTAGAATAGTTTTTGTCGGTTCAGACTCGATGGGACGAAGGGCCTCTTCTGTAATGTACAATTGTATGAAATGGCAGATCAGTACTACCTTCTCAAGCATTGAGGGACTGGCAAAAATACTGGCTTAGATAATGAAGCCCACCTCCTGTGAAAGAATGAATAAAAGAAATCTTGAACCTCAACTTACCCAAGAACTGCATCCCTTTATGAATTAGAATTAGAATTAGGTTTTATTGTCACGTGTATTCAAGTACAAGGGTACAGGAGTACAGTGAAAAGTGTGTGACGTTGCCATTTCCCTAATTTATACTGGGAAAAACGGTAATGTAGAACTTTTAACTTTTCTCCTTATTTCTTTATTTTTGTACCTAATCTATTTTATTGCCTAAGATTTGTGCCTTGGTACTTTGTACCTAAGATGATGCCATGTGTGACAACATTGTACACCTTTCACTGTACTCCTGTACTTTTGTATTCCGGTACATGTGACAATAAAACCTAATTCTAATTCTAATTCTAATTCTAAAGGTACATGGGTACAAAAGCTTAGATTAAAAAGTAGAAAAATAAAATTAAAAAGTTCAAAATTACAGTCCTTCCTAAGTGCTAAACCATGAAGTTGTATTCATTCATTACCCTTAACCCCATTGATTGATATCAGCTCACACTGCCACAATGCATCAAATCCCAACTCCATGATACTGATGAAACCTGGAGGGAGGCTTAGGCAAGAAACACACCTTCAAGTAAACACATTGTTGCTAACCCAACATCTCAACAGCCAGGCATCGATCTCCTATGGAGCATATGTAGAATTTGGATTGGACAAATCTAGTGTGTGTACCTGATGTACATGTGGAAGCTTGACTCATCTGAGCCATTTAAGCAACTTCTTCAAACTTTTGATTCTTCCGTTGCTGACCTCTTACGTGCTCCGCCCACCTCCCTTTGCCCTGCCATTGGTGATTGTACATTCAAATAGGAATATATGAACAGGGGTAGGCCATTCAGCCTGTTGAGGCTGCCCCACCATTCAAAATGATCATGGCCAATTGAACACCTCAATGCCTTTTATTCGCCTCATTCTCAAAAATTCTGTACGTTAAATACGAACAGCCCAAGACCTGGACCTCCCTCTTTAACCATTTCTCCTCTGTAAGTGCTTTGTTAAAGACTACCCATTGACCAAATCTTTGGTCATCACATCCAACACTGCCTTCTTCATCTCAACATGAATTTCTTGATTATGTCTTTGAGGAGAAGTTTTTCTCTGATTTTATTGTTTAAAACACATGATTTTGCAGTAGTAATGGCTACAAAAATAGACAATAATCCAAAAGTGGTGGCAATGCACCAAGAATCATAGAATCATAAAATCATATAGTACAAAAGAGGCCCTTTGGCCCATCAAGTCTGTACCACTAAAAATATACTACTACCTACATTTGCCCACACAAGCCTTGAATGCTATGATATTTCAAATCCTCCTCCAAATACTTTTTGAAGTACTGTTAGGATAAACAGATAAACCATCTAATTAATCTGTCATTTTTGAGTAATACAGAAAAAATAGCTGTGTAAATTACTGACCTCTTATTTTAAAGAAAAAAAACAACTGTTTCATGAATGCTGTCATGCAAATAGCCAACGTCCTGTGAAGCAATCTGATAAACCACTTGGGCTACAAAACAATGTGAGTTAGTAACAGGCAATAAGCATATTATTTAATCACAACCTGCAAGCACATGAAAGCAATTGAATTCTTTGCATCTAATACAATCATTTCCCCAAGACACATTGAGCTGGGGAAGATTCTTGAACTCATTTGATCTGACTCTTCAAGGATAAGAAACCTACCACACTAGAAACTTGCAGGCACGCTGATTGGTCAAGATTTTGTTCTGGTAATGACCCTGAAATTGCCAGTGTTTGAATCATTGGCCCATTGAAATAGACAACTCCTCCTTAACAGTTTTGTGGGTGTAACTACATTACGTGGATTGGGCAGTTCGAAAAGGCAGCTGGCCATCACTTTCTCTTGACAATGAGGGATGGGCAACAAGTAATGGCCTCACCTGTGACAATCACATCCTGAGGATAAACGTTAAAAATCAACTTTCAAATGTTTTACTCATTTCTGAAATGTGTCTTTCTTTGCTTTTCTTGTAGGTCAAATTCAACCCAACCCACCAAAGCCTCCAGTGGACCAAAATGATTCTCAGATACAACTGGGGAGCTTCAATAGAGTGAAAACAGCAGGAGCTTGTGTTGTTAGTCAGGTTCCTGCCGGAACTCCCCCTGATGTGTTTCCCCCAAGTAAAATTATTGATCTTCGGGCAACAGTAGTTGAGGATGCAATACAACTGACTTGGACAGCACCAGGCGATGACTTAGATCAAGGAACTGGTAATTTAATTTATATTTCAACGCATACATTGTGAGCAACTCCATCACTGAGTTATCAGCCCATCTTAAGTCCAGATGTCTCCATCAAATCATCAATCAATGCTTTGGTCAGTCAGTTTCATTGCTTAGCTAGGAATAGGGTATTACTTTTGTCATTTGTGTATTTCTGTTGTTGAGTATTTACTAAACATTATATTACAAGTGAATGACTGACTGTATTTTAATCTGAAATCTTTAAGTGTCCTCATCTTTGTTTCAAAAGGAGTTATCATAGAATCCCTGCAGTGCAGGAAGAGATCATTCAGCCCTCTGAAGAGCAATCCCACCCAGATTCAGCCCCTACCCCATCCCCATTACTCCATATTTACCATGGCTAATCCACGCAGCCTGCCCATCCTTGGACAGGACAATCCAGCATGTCCTATCCACCTAATCTGCACTTTTTGATCTGTAGGAGGAAACCAGAGCACCCAGAGGAAACCCACACAGACATGGGGTGACTGTGCAAACTCCAAACAGATAGTTGCCCAAGGCTGGAATTGAGCCCAGGTCCCTGCTACTGTGAGGCAGCAGTGCTAACCACTAAGCCACTGTGTCCCCCTGGCAATGTTGTATTGACTTTAAGCAGCTCTGGGGAAAGTCGCTTCAATCTTTCCTTTTCAGCTATTTCCTCCCAATCCTCATACTTTTGCAAAAGACATTGAATCATTGTTAAAGGTTTACTTTAACTCTTGCGTCCTTACCCTTGTAACTATCAAAAGTGGGCAAGGCTTGATAATGAGCACTGACATGTGTGTGGTGGCCAGGCATCCCAACCAAGTTCCTTCCAATGCCCACACTTTCAGGGGACAAGCTTGTGGCTCAACTCATTCCGACCCGATGTACCAAACCCACCCTGAGTGAAAATTGAGGCCATGACATTAACTTTTAAGAGTGTCTTTTTGTTACTTCCCTAAGCCACCGTACTGTACAATTAGATATTGTAAAGGGCATGTTCCTGAACATGAAACACTCAGACCACTCACAGGAGTGACCAGTACCATTATATTTTAGAGAATACTGAAGCCATTCGAGAGCCAAAGTTGTAATGGGGATGAGTGTAATTCAAATATTAAATACATATTACAATGGGAGACCATAATAAGACCATAATAGGAACAGCAGGAAGCCATTCAGCCCCTGGGGCATGCCACACCATTCAATAGGATTATGGCTAATCTGACATTTCTCACGTCTACTTTCCTGCATTTTGCCCATAACGCTGGATTCCCCGACTAATCAAACCTTCAGTAGACACAAGAACTCTGCCTCTACAGGTCTCTGTGGCGAGGAGATCCAAAGACACCCAATCCTCAGAGAGAAGAATTCCTCTTTATCTCAATCTTAAATTGACATGCCTTTATTCTGACACAATGCCCTCTGATCCTAGACTCTCCTGTGAGGGAAAACATCCTCTCAGCATTAACCCTGACAAGTCCCTTAAAAATTCTTTACATTTCAAAGACATTACCTCTCATTCTTCTAAACTCCAGTGAGTAGAGTCCTAACCAGTTCAGACTTTGATCATAAGGCAATCCCTCCATATCAGGGATCATCCTGGTGAACCTTCTCTGAGCTGCCTCCAATAAAATAATCTCTTTCCTTAAATAAGGGAGAATCCCAATGAGATTAAAACAAATGTTGGGCTGAATGGTCTTCTCTTGTTTTGGCATTTTTTAAGCTCTCAATTTAGTTCCTTTTTACCATTTTCCTTGCTCAACTACTTGAGCAAATCTGGTAGTGCGTAAGAGAATAACGTCAAGAGATTGAAAGATATATTCACTTGCTTTTCTTTTCTTGTAGCTTCGTTCTACGAAATAAAGCTCAGCAAAAACTTCTCACAGCTGAAGGATGATTTTCCAAATGCTCAAAGTGTAAACACCAAAGACCTGAAGCCAAAGGTGGCTAGCTCAGAGGAATCGTTCACAGTATCTGAGAACATCGAGTTAAAAAATGGGATAGTAATCTACTTTGCAATTCAGGCATTTGATAAAGAAAACAAGTCTTCTGACTTATCAAATATAGCGCCCACTTTCTTTTTGGCTGGTACAACCTCAACTTCCCAACCAACCTCAACTTCCCAACCAACCTCAACTTCCCAACCAACCTCAACTTCCCGTCCAACCTCAACTTCCCAAACAACCCAACCTCCGTTTACCACAGCCATTAACATTTCAGAAATTCTTATTATTGTTGGTATTACTGTCATTATTGTCTCCTTGATAATTTCCATCACTGTATGTGTTGTGACTAAAAATCGTCAGAGGAGAGTATCACCCAGTTAGGAAATGTACAGCTAAAGCCAGAGATAATCAGCAATGTCATCAAAATTCAACAAAATTCAATTTATATCTATGCAATTTAATTCATGTTCAAAATTTTTGGCGAAAAGCTTGGACTCCGCATGAATGTGGAGCATCCCTTCTGATGTTGAGCTGAAATTGTGTAAATTAAATGTATGAGTAAAGTGTATTTCTGTAAAAGGCCTGACAGAATCTATTAAAGTTGAGCTGTACAATCTGAGATTTGAATATAATCTTTATCCTTTACAATGATGTTCAGTTTTCCTGCTTGTGTTTGGAACCTCATGTTGTTTCTATTTGGCCAAAGAAAATTTGCAACCAACATCAATATGGTTCTGTTTTGGTGCCAGCAGGGGCATCAGCCAATGGAAGGCAACAATTTAAAGCTGGAAACTATTCATTCTGTGTCCCAATCTAAATCCCGGTCCTGCAGGAACACTTTCACCAGGAAGACAGACACTTCAGTCGCCAGAGTTTGTATCTTGCTAATGTGTTTTATTTATGGGGAATTGTGATAAGGCCTCTTCAAGCTTCTGATTAGATGCAGTTCAACTGAAGAATTGATTTGGATCAGCATAATGCATTACTGCCTCCTCCGAACCAATCCTAATTGCTTCTGATGCAACTGATTGTTGAGAGGCACAGTGTATGAGAGATGGCAAGGCAGATCTCATTCAAAAAAACACCACTAAAGAAGAGAGAACAAAAACCGAAGTTGCTGGAAATGCTCAGTAGGTCTGGCAGCATCTGTGACGGAAAAATCAGAGCTAATGTTTCGGGTCCAGTGACCCTTCCTCAGAACTCAGACCCAAAATGTTAGCATTTTTTCCCATGGCTAATTCACCTAACCTGCACACACATGGACACTATGGGCAATTTGGCATGGCCAATCCACCTAACCTGCACATTCCTGGACACAATGGACAATTTAGCAAGGCCAATCCACCTAACTTGCACATCTTTGGACTGTGGAAGGAAACCGGAGCACTTGGAGGAAACCCATGCAGACACAGGGAGAATGTACAAACTCCATATAGGCAAGTCACCCGAGGCTGGAATCAAACCCGGGTTCCTGATGCTGTGAGGCAGCAGTGCTAACCACTGAGCCACCATGCCACCTTGTACTAGTCTCACTTTCCACCACTAGACTCATAGCCTGAATGTTATGATGATGGATTGCACCCTTTAGACTTCTTTAAACCAAAAACATATCTGTTACTAATGAACAGAAAATTGAAACCAAAGAGATGTTTGTGACCCATGCCTTGTTAGCACCGACAAAATGTGGACATGATTCGATTTGCTCTTCATGGACCTACACCGGACATCCAGCCAGGTTTCAATTATTCCCACATGCACTGGACAAGTAGTTTGCAAAATTAAGCACAGATAAAGGATACTTTCCTTTCGCATGACAATGAACTTTTACAGAAGGCAAGCAGGCCTTTCTGTCCACTTGGTCTACATCAGTACTTAGCTAGAATATTTCTTTCTCTAAAGTATTCATTGGCATCCTGCTCAGTTTCAGTGCTCCATATACATGAAATTAATGTAGCACCCTTTTAACACGCTGTCCACTGTGGCTGAACTATTCTTTGTGGAACAGCTTTCCAACTTAAACCAATTCTGTTCCAACTACATCAGAATAGGAATTATTCACATGTGTTTTATCACAAATACGCAATCCAACTGCACAACTATTTCTTCTGAGGTATAAGGCTTTTTGCTGTTTGGGATCTGTATTTCTCTGCAGTCCTAATACGAAACAGTTTGGACACTTGCCAGCTTTCGAGATAGATTGCAAATGGAGGGATTCATTGACCTGACAAGATGCTCACTAGGTTAAATTTTTTAGTCATTCAGAAATGTGCTTTATTTTGCTGCATAGGAAGTCCATCTGATTTCTTTTTGAGGATAGGGAGAAGTAAAGACTTGAAACTCAAAAGCAATTAACAGAAGGGTTTGGGTTGGGAATTCCAATATGTGAGGCCTGTAGGTGGCTCATGGAACAGCAATAATGCAGTTAAGAGAAGGATAAAGCGGACAAAGTGGGAAGAATAGGTAATTTAAGAGGGGTTGGTTTTGCAATGGAGAAAATGACAAAGTCCTGGAGGAGGGAAGCCACAGAGAGATTGAAACACAAAGATGAGAACTTCAAATCTGAGGTACTGGGAGTAAATCCAAAGCTAATGGAAGTGCAGGACTTGATACAGAATGGGACACAGGAAACTGAGTTTTGGATCGGATGGGATTTATAGGAGATGGGAAATCAGTCAGAAGAATGTTGAAACTTTCCAGATAAGCACAGGGCAAGAAGTATGCTTTCACTTCTGCCTTCCTTGTTTTGTTTTTAGAATGTGAGAACTGAACATGATCTATCCCCATCGAGTATGCTTTGCCTCCTGCTGGGTATTTATACCTGCTGAGGCGGTATATGTTGGCTCCCATAACATAAGAACTAAACATCAATATTGTGTTTATTAAAGCTTCTGTTATAGATACGTTATAGATAAAGGTGCTTCAGATTTGGCTAGTATTAAACTATTTGGTTACAAAAAATAGCATTAGCATGTCATGCTTCAAGTAGTCCCAGATCAGATGGAGTTGGTCACCTTTACACACTCACGTAACATAGTATGGTAAAGTGATGACATATCACAAAAATGTCATGGAGTCATAGAGATTTACAACACGAAAACAGACCCTTTGGTCCAACTCATCCATGCCAACCAGGTATCATAAATTAGTCTAGAACCATTTGCCAATATTTGGCCCATATCCCTCTAAACCCTTCCTATTTATTTACCCAACCAGATGTCTTTTAAATGTTGTAATGTACCAGCCTCCATCACTTCCTCTGGCAGCCCATTCCATACATACACTATTGTCTGCATGAAAAAGTTGCCCCTTAGGTCCCTTTTAAATTTTGCCCCTCTCACCTTAAACCTATGCCCTCTAGTTTTGGACTCCCCTTGACTATTCACCCTATCCATGTCCTCATAATTTTATAAACTTCTAAAAGGTCATCCCTCAGTCTGCGATGCTCCAGGGAAAATAACCCCAGCCTGTTCAGACTCTCCCTGTCGCTCAAACCCTCTAAACCTGGCAACATTATTATAAATCTTTGCTGAAGCCTTTTAAGTTTCACAACATCTTTGCTATAGCAGGGCGACCAGAACTGAATGCAATATTCCAAAAGTGGCCTAACCAATGTCGTATACAGTTGCAACATGACCTCCCATCTCCTACACTCAGTGCACTGACCAATAAAGGCAAGTGTACCAAATGTCTTCTTCACCACCCTGTCTACCTGCAACTCCAATTTCAAGGAACTATGAACCTGCACAACAAGATCTCTGTGTTTGGCAACACTCCCTAGGACCTCAGGGGGGAAAGTTCACACGCAGGCTCACTCCACTCTGCTACTGAACTAACTCTTCCTGTCAGAGTAACCTATAGATGAGGAATTTTTATTTATGTTCCTGTAAACCTCTACAATTCTAGACAGGGTAAACTCAGGAAGCATGTGCCAAGGAACTCAGAGTCCTGAATCAGGGGTCACAGTCTAAGGAACTGAGTAAGCCATTTAGAATGCTGAGAAGAGGTGTGGTGAGTTTGTGGAAATTCTCTCCCACAAAAAGTAGACGGCACGGTGACTCGGGGACCCGGGTTCGATTCCACCCTCAGCCAACTGTCTGTGTGGAGTTTGCACATCCTCCCCGCATCTGCGTGGGTCTCCTCCGGGTGCTCCAGTTTCCTTCCACAGTCCAAAGATGTGTAGGTTAGGGTGGATTGGCCATGCCAAATTGCCTGTAGTTTTAAGGGATGTGTAGCTTAGGTGGGTTATGCGGGATGGGTCTGGGTGTGGACTTGTTGGGCCGAAGGCCCTGTTTCCACATTGTAGGGATTCTATTCTATGATTCTTACCATTAAGTGTCTCTTAAAAATACGCTGTTGACTAGGTCTGAGATGTGAAAGTACAAATGTACAGAGTTAGAAATAAATATTTTAATGGGCTCAAAAACAGCCGAGAAGGGTGCTGGGCTTAATGTTTTTGGAAGAGAACTGCTGATTGGTTAAAGGGTGCAAGTTCATCAGGATGTGGAGTGGCTTTGAGAATATGAAATATTCCAGAGTCAAGGAATGCAAAGTTCATGCTGAGGTGGAAGTAACAGCTACTCTGGCTCAAGGAAATACATAACCTAAAATCAAATTTCATCAACCGCTGATATGCCTGAGTGATATTACCTGTGGGTGAACGTAAGATTATCTGATTGTGCAACTGACAATCATTTGCAAGATTTGCAAGTCAGAGATAACCATTGAACGTAACAGCTTCATTGCACAGAGTGTCACATGTTAATGCTTAAATGAGAGTCTGATGCATTTATATTGGTCAAAATAAAGCTATAATTACAGCCTAACATTCACTTGCAATTAAGAATGGACTTAGAGGTTTTCCTGTTACTGTGCATTCTCAGACAAACACAACAAGGGCAAAAAAAAAGAAAGTTGCTGGAAAAGCTCTGCCTGTCTGGCAGCACCTGTGAAGAAAAAAATCAGAGTTTACATTTTGGGTCCGGTGATCCTTCCATTCTGAGGAAGGGTCACCGGACCTGAAACGTTAACTCTGATTTTTTTCTTCACAGATGCTGCCAGACCTGATGAGCTTTTCCAGCAACTTCTGTTTTTGTCCCTGATTTACGGCATCCGCAGTTCTTTCGGTTTTTATAACAAGGGCAAAGTTGAATCAAAGCAGAAAGAGGCCATTTGACCCATCAAGTTCTGCAGCAGTGCTCCAAAGAGCAGCCCTCCAATCTATCCTAGTAACACCACATTTACACATCCCTGGATACTATGAGGCAATTTAGCATGGCCATCCACTGAACCCACACACCTTTGGTCTATGGGAGGAAACTGGAGCACCCAGAGGAAACCCAGGCCAACAGGGGGAGGATATGCAAACTCCACACAGACGGTCACGCAAGGCTGGAATCAAACCTGGGCCCCTGCTGCTGTGAGGTAGCAGTGCTAACCATGGAGCTACTATGGTGCCCACTGGGAGAGGGTTTCGTGGTCAGTCCACTGGCACTCAATGCCACACTGGTGACAGTTCAGCTGAATGTAAATCAGCGAGCAGCACACCATCCTTTCTCAGGCATGTAACTGCTTAAAAATA